GAAGAGAGGGATCATTGAGACCATGCAAGGGCACATCAGATCTATTCCTTTGGTGGATGTCAAGGCAAAATTATTCAGAATATAATCTGAAATGCATTTGATCGTACAGTAGATAGCTTAATAATTTATGGTTAGCCTTATTAGCAAAGCCCTGTGTTTACTTTGCCATCACCAAAATAAGATAAAAGTAAGATAAAAACCCAAGATTAGAGTGTTTTTTTTGTGTGCGTGTGCTCAAGTTTAAAATTTTTTCTTTGCAATTTTAATGACCTGATAGCAAGTACACGTTTGGGGTGAGGGAATAAGGGAACAGTTTCCTGTGAATAATGCCTGATGTAGGACTGCTCATTCCCAAAAGTGATACAGAAGAGCTGACAGTGCTGTGCTCTCATCACAGGGGTGTGTGACAGAGGTCGGAAAATGTAAATGTTCTTCCAAAATCAATGGGAAAGCGTAATTAATTCCAACTTCAAGTGTTGATTCTATTACATTCCAGCATCCCTATAATGCTGACGGACTGTGCATATAACACTTTCTTAACATAGACTTCAAGAACTAGAGAATACTAACATTTTTGCTTTGGAGATAATTGGGCACTCCAGCACTTCTGCTTATATGATAATAAAATGATCCCAATTTGGGGACTGTCTAGAAGAATAATGGAGAAAGATAGCTTGGCACCCTTAATCCCCTGCATGTCCTGGTATCTGGTAATGACATGAAGTGCAGGGACAGGGTTGTCTTGTCAATTTGAGGAAGGGAGTTGGCACATGGAATGCAATTGCAGGGCCCTGGCAACACCTGCAGGTGTCAGAGACAGAAGAACTCATTTAGAAGCTGCACTGCAAGATGGGAAGACAGGTGGCAACTCTCTTACAGGGATATCTTTTATTTGAGCAGAACCAGACCAACTGTTCCTCATTAAAACACATTTTGCAGCGTGTTCTAATGTGAGCACATCAAGTATGTCTGCACGTGCATGTGCGTGTGCGTGTGTGTGTGTGTTCAGAGCAAACTCAGCCACGTGCTATCTACGGGTCACATTTACAAAGTCTCAACATGGCTCAGAACTGCAAGACAGACAGCATGAAAGTCCCCACATAACTTGAGGCTGACTTCCCTAGAATGGGCTTCTGGAAGAAGACACAAAATAACAGCACTCCCTCCAGGAGATGCAGTAGCAAGTAAAATGGATAAAACCGGTTTGGTGGCAATCGATATTCGTAGCCATTTAATAATTAAGCAGTGTGTTGGTTTTTCTCATTGATTTATATTAGACTATAAATACTTCTCTGATGTGTTGCTATCGGGCTGTGCTTAGTATGACTAAAGCCAAGCCTCTCAGCTGCTTCACCATTTCTACCTGCTACCTGCGAGTGGGGTGAGTGACTTAAAGGCAAGATTAACTTGCCTTAGCTACTCCACTGGGTAGATTGGAGGATTAAAGAAGAGAATGCATGCGTAGTACTCACAGCCCAGCTGGCGCTGGGCACATGGTGAGAGTTCCAAGGACTTGGCTGCTTCTACTTGGTGTTGTTACATGGAGCCTGTCCTCTTCCTTCCTTGCTGGGTCCTTATGCTTCTGGCTCTGCAGCCATATTCTGTATTACAGTTTGTCGATAGTTTTGATGAGGAGGAGGAAGAAATGCAGAAGAGGCTTCTGAATAGCAACCCCATCAAGCTCTCAAGGAAAGGATATTTGCAACTATAAGAAGATAAGAACAGAGCATACTTCCTGAACTGAGCACACTTTCTGGTGGGATGAGAGCTCACGTGTGCTATGAGTGGCAGGCATAGTAGTGGCACCCACCAGAACCTCCAGCTTTTACCTTCCCTGGCAAAAGGCACTTTGCAGAAGCAATTAAATTAAGAACCCTGCAATGAAGAGGTTATTCTGAATTATCTAAGTGGGTCCCATGTCAATCATAAAGGTCCTTATAAAAACTCCTGCGCAAAAAAAAAAAAAAACTCCTGCGCTATAGGCTTTGAAAATGGAGGAAGGGGCCACAAGCCAGTGGATATAGGCAAATTCTAGAAGCTAAAAAGGACAAGGAAACAGATCATTTCCCAGAGCCTCCAAAAGGAGTGCAGCCCTGCCTATACCTTGATTTAGAACTTCTAATCTCCAGAAATGTAGGAGAATGAATTTGTGTTGTTTAATACCCTAGGTTTGTGGTACTTCTTCATTTCCCAAACCACACTCCCATGATGTCACCATAATCACACCCCTTTGTTGTGAGGCTTTTGTATTCCAGGCATTCTACCTGACTCTGGGCACATTTTTCTGAGCCTTTCAACAACATGTTAAGGTAGATGTTGGCATTTCTACTTCATCGAAGAGGCTTACAAAGCTCAAACACCTGCCTGAGATCACATGGCAGTCTGAACTTGGGTTCAGTTCCTGATCTGCCAGAGTTCAAAACCTGTGCTCATTCTTTATATTTCATTTGCTTCTCAGATATGATTAATAGGGAACAAAGCCAGCATGGGTGAGTTAATCATATCTGAGAAGCAAATGAAATAGTGACTTTGTAATTTTACAAAAAGAATATCTGAGGTCATTTATGTTTCTCTTTAGAACCACAAAATACCATGGAATCCATAGTCTTAATTGAGTTTTAAATGTTCAAAGCACTTAATATCTCTCTGTCTCTCACATATACATATATGTCATGTAATCTTTATAACACCCCTGTGATGCACAAATACAAACAGCACCTCCCTTCTACAGGTGAGGAAGTGGAGGCAAAGAGAGGATGGATAATTTGCCTGAGAATCTTCAGAGGGAGCTGGAATTCAGAGTCAGAGCTTGAGCACTTACTGCTGCTAATACCAGTCCTGACGGTGTTTCATGGCGCTAAACGTGCTCAAGTGGAGAGCGTCTCTTTTCTCTCCCCAACAGTGTATGCATAACTGCTAGAGAAGGCGGAAGCAGTTACAGATAGACTGTTGTTACCCTCCCCGCTGTCTATTTATCTTTAACTGATTGATAGCGGATCCCTAAAGTTTCTGAACATGAAAGTTTGGTTTTTTCATTTCAGCACGCACATTTGGTTCTGCTTTAATAGGTTTATTCTTTTCATAGGATTTTATAAGCTATGCTTTTGAAAATTAGGAGAATATGTTTAAGAGTTAGCAAATAAGCAGGTTTAGAAATTAATCAAGTGAGTAGTGAGATTTACAGGGAGGAAAACCCCATGTTAATCAAAGTTAACACCAAGTGGATGATGGGCACTCTCAGTGTGCACCTGGGTCTGTTGTCACTAGATGAACACATGACAGATTGAACAGAAGTCATAGCCTGCCTGCCTTCAAATTTCTGTTTTGAAAAAGGCATTTCTGAGTGGAATTTGAGTTCTTAAAAATTATATTTAAGTCTCAGAGTTGACATTCAGTTTGTTTTAATAAGCAATAACATTCTTCAGATTTACTATGTTATACTTTGATAGATACAGGTGTATCTTGAATTTCAGGAATTAGTAATCTTGATAATGTTTAAAAGATTTATGGAAAGTTTGAGCCTTCTGTTTACTTTCCATAACTATTGAACATAGTTAAGTTTTCCTTTTAAAGTCAGTTATATATATTGCTCTGTGAGCGTTTTGTGTGTGTCAACTTTTATATTTCTTTTTTTTTTTCCGAGACAGAGTCTCACTTTGTTGCCCTCAGTAGAGTGCCATTGGCATCAAAGCTCACAGCAACCTCAAATTCTTAGGCTCAAGCAATCCCCTTGCCTCAGCCTCTTGAGTAGCTGGGACTATAGGTGCCCACTACAACACCTGGCTATTTTTTTTAGAGACAGGGTCTCACTCTTGCTCAGTCTGGTCTTGGACTCCTGAGCTCAAGCAATCCACCTCCCTTGGCCTCCCAGAGTGCTGGGATTACAGGCGTGAACCACCATGCCTGGCTTAAATTTTTGTTGTTGTTGCTAAGCAGGCCCAAGCAACTTTTGTCTTTCCAGCGGCTACCTGTAATCACCTGTAAGCGATTTTTATTACGTAATAGAAATGCTGTTTACACTATTTTCTATTCATGAGCCCTGGTTCTAACTGTGTAGAAACCTGCCACAGTTGTACATTTACATGTTTGACCATCTTGGACTTTATGAGAAAGACCCTGTCTTTTCCATATTTGTACATTATTTTTCCTCTAGTATCACAGTGGTAGAGACAATTGAAGTATACAAAGCTAGCTGGCTACTGATTACTCTGTCATCTGAGAAATGTTTTTCCCAATCTTATATTTAGAAATAGTATCATCAAAGCCTTTAATCAAGGTGAACATAATAAAAGCAGCACAGTGCAGCAGAGACAGGCTGCATTTTCCCCATCCTGATCTGTTGTCAGGCTTCCACCTTGATCTTGCAGAGCGTGGCAGGGCAGGTGGGCCTCTGGTGGCTGCACCCGCCTGCTTCTGCTTTCCCATGTGACTCTAGGGTGCAAACTTGTCCACAAGGACCAGGAGGGAGTCTCAAATTGTGCTTTGAAGCACTAGCATGTCCCTGAGAATAGCCAGGCACTCCACTCTGCACTTCCAAACACCAGCTCAGAAGCCTCTGAACAGAGACCACCTAAAAAGCAGTGCAATTGGGTCTCAGAGCTTCCTGTGCACGCTCCAAGCCGGACGATCCACGTTGTCCAGTCTAGCACGCAGAGACAATGGGAGCTACTTGTGTGGCACACCAGGGAGCTTCAAGGGGACTACGTGTGGAATGCATCTGTGACAAGACTCCACTCTACACAAATCCTGCCCTTCATGAATCCTGCCCTGACTCTCCATAAACACTGTCCATCTTTCTTCATACAATTCATCCATAAAGTCATGAACTTAGCCTGGCCCTTCAAGGAAAGAGCTGGCCCAGGGTGGGTGTTCACACGTGCCTTTGTGAAGGAGTAAGTGGATGGTTGCACCTTGTAGGAACAAATTACTTGATTGATACCACAACAGGGCTTTCACTGCATCTTGAAATCATTTTTTCTTCTTTATTTCTGTCTTCATAGGAATTCAGAAATCAGCTTGGTAATCACCAGGGTGCAGTATTCCACACCCCTGCTGCAGCTCCACACACCCCAGAGAGTTCCAGAATGGCACTGCAGATACAGAGGCTGCATCAAGGCTGGACACCGAGGATGTCTGTGGGCATGGCTCTGTTTGCTCTTCTTTTCGCTTTTTTGGTCAAGGTCTATAACTGGAACACAAGCAAATGAAGCATCTGTGATGAAGAATAAATTTCTAATTAAAATCTTCAATGAACAGGAGGGTGACCAGATCAGTTCTCAAAGGGGAATAATTCACATGGGTCCCACTGCCCCCTCTTTAGCCACACTTGCTTTCAATGAGGCTCCCCCGTCTCACATTGAATTGGGCTCATTGGTCATGTGACCTAAAACCTAATCACAGCTACCATAGCGTATCTTTCAAAGGACGCTCCGTTGGGTTTATTTTTAGCAAGAAATGCAAGTGATTGCATTTGATTTTTTTTAGTCTCCAATCTTCAAGTCTGAACCTAATAGTATAGCGGCTCTGGTCATCTTTGCCTTATGTGGAAGAATTTTCAATCTTTAATAAACATTTTCGAGTGTATCTTCCTCTTCGTGCTTTGTCTGGAGTCCCAGTGCTACAAACATCTTATTTCTCACAGCAGATGTGTTCCTGAAAAGTTTACATGGAAACCTACTTTGGGAACTTGGATTCTTACGGAATGTGCAGGAGAGTCTTCTGATTAACAGACTCCTGGCGACATTCTGTGAAATATGAGGAATCACCCACTTCTGTGGCCCCCACAAACTTTGGAAAACCGGGTTCGTCTAAAACAAATGGTGCCCCTTTTCTGACATTTTGATGAGTTAGATCAAATGTTTTTATTTCTACCTGACACCAGTGGTCCTTTCTAAGTAAAGTGATTTCTTTCACACACACACAAAAAGAATCAGTGTAATAAACAAATCCTTTGTTGATCAGAATTTAAATAACCTATCAGATTGTATCAGCAAAGGGAAAGCAGGTGCCTCGTGGCTACTGTAGGATTTTTTTCATCTTAAAACCCCTATCCACCCTGTTCAGCTCTTCCTTTGATCCCAGAAGAAACGTTTCAGCCTCTTATGTGTTTTTTAAGCAATCTGAATTAAAATTTAATTATGTCATGATTTGGTGATCTCAAATATATATATACTTTAGTGTTAGTACATTTCTCCTGAACCTGGTGTGTGCTGCTAAGAAGTACTCACATTTAAAATGCAGACATCTGCCTGGGCCCTGTTGAGTCCTGGGGGTGCACACACACTCTCAGCAGGAGTGGGGAGAAGAGAGGAGCCTTGTTACTAAACAGAGTGGGTTCCAGTGTGGTGCTTACTTAAGAAAATACATAGCAGAGATAAAAATGTCATCCAAAGCTTGACGGGACATCAGGAAAGCTTTACACCTGTGAGAGGGCAGAGACAGAAAGGGTTTCCTCCTACCTCCCGTTTCTCACTCTTCACACTTTTCCTCTTACCCCCTCATCTGTTTCTTTCTTCCCTTCTAGATCTGGGCTTTCCTCTCCTCCACCCTCCTTCCTACATCTTTTCTTTCTCTAAAGAGAATGATGCACTCGACTGTCTGAAGCTGAGGATCCCTGGGGACTGTGTCAGCCACACAGGATTGTCGCCGGTCCTTGCCACACCTTTCACTTACCTGCTGTTGGGACGCAGCTCCATTCTGCTCTTTGGTCCACAAAGAGACCAAAGCCACTGCCTTGAATCAGGGACTGGGTCCTGCATGATGTCAGTCCCCAAATGGTGACCAATTGGTCAGGGGGTTGGCAGCAATCTAGAAATTCAGCTGTCTCTTCTCCATGTGCTCCTGCTAGAGAGAGGGAGGGGAGAAGGATGTGGCGAGTACCTGTAATAACTCTCGTGCACAGGGCCCCGCGTGAGACTGAGCCTGGGAGCACCGGAGTGAGTGCAGTCATCAGGACAGCTGTCGTGTTGTAGCCCATCTCCTGCAGTCCGGAGGCCCACAGGGCAGCTCTCTTCTACCCCTTTGAAGTTAGGCATGCCCATGGGGCTTAACTTTAGCTGGTGGAATATGAGTGCACGGGTTATATCTTCCTTTGGGGCAAACATGTTCAGTTCACCATGTGCCCCCTCTTCCTGCTGTGGTCATGATCATGAACCCTCAGCCCAGGTTCCTGAGTTAGGGCGATAGCAGAGCCCCCTGCCAGTGCAGGTGAGACATGCACTGATAAGCAAGAAACATGCTTTTGTTGTGTGAAGCCACTGAGACCTGCGGGTGGTAGGCAGAGCGTAACCCGATTCATATGAAGAGTCAGCCATGATAGGACCTGGCCTTGCAGGTTGGAAACATCCTTGTTGTTTTCTTCTTATGCTTTCTCCTTAATACCGAAGTGTTTTGTTTTTTTCTTAATGTGTCCTCTCTCCGCTGCTAAGAAGGAAACCTATGAAGAAATCTTTCCCATTATGAAAGTAAAACATTTATATGAAAATGTACATAAATCACAGAGATTTCCAAAAAGCAAACACATTGCAGCCAGCCCCAGGAGGCTCCCGTGCATCCTCTCGGCCAATTCTGTCCCCCTCCCAAAGGAATCCCTATCCTCATTTCTAAAACTGTAGGTTCACAGGGCGCAGTATTGCACATCTGCCTTTGGATCATGACAGGCATCTGTGTTGGTGTGTGTCACGGGAATTCATTCGCGTCCATTGCTGGATGGAATTCCATTGTATGAATATACCACACTGTATCCATTCTACATTTAAGTTTCTGACGTGTTGGCTGTTATGAATAATGCTGCAGTGAACATATTTGGACACACTTAAGTGTTTACATGCTGAGTATGTGTCTAGGGTGGAATTGCTGAACATGGAAATTGGCATGTTCAGCTTCAGTAGACACTGCCAAATGGTCTTCTGAAGTGGCTGAACCGGTTTATACCCCCACCAACAGTTGACATGAACTCTGCCATTCTCCCCACTATTTTTTTCTTTTCCTCTATGTACCTTTGTATTCTTCAGCAGAATTTTCTTTGCTGTCTTCCTTCCCTTGGTCAGTCCTTTACTGCTAACTGTGGAGCCTTTAAATGAGCTAAACATTATGATGTGCACTTTACAGGTCAATCAGTCATGGAGGAGCAACTTGGAGATAGGTATTATTATTCCAGTTTTACTGAGAACAAAATCTTAAACTCAAAAGAAAGTAAGTTGTGCAAGAGGCACAGCACCATTAAATTTAGAGGCAGGGCTTGAACACAGCCCAGCTCCAAAGCATGTATTCCTCTGCTATAAAACTTGTCTGCTCCCTTGTTCTGTCTTTGACCTAACTTGACCTGTGCCAAGAGATATGTGTCTAGTCCATGTGAATGCCTGGGTTCTGGGGGAGCCCAGCCCTTCATTCTGTGTTGTCCAGCACCACGTATGTGCATAGTACTTGATAAACTTTTAAAATAAAGGTTTATTAATCAGGTTTTCCCCCTTCTTCCTTTACCTCTTTCTTTCCTCCCTTCCTTGTGAGAATATAAGGAATTGTTTGGTAAGAACTTTGCTTTGTTGCTAGAAAAATGTGTCTAAACATCAGATTTCCATATGTCATTTAGTCAAAACATATGCTACTGCCATTGACATCACTCCAGGTTGAAAATTGCCGCGTATATCATAAGATGTCATGGAGGGAGAATCAGAGTTACAAATAAAGCTTCAAGAGGTTTTGTCATCATAAAACGGACATAGAAAAAATGAAGGAAGAAAAAAAGGGAGAGGAAGTAAGAAAGGAGGAAAGAGAAAAGGAAGGGGGAAAGTAACCGTGTGATATGCTGGATATGTCAGTTTCCTTGACTGTAGGAGACATTCGATATATGTATATCAAAACATCATCTTACATACCTTAAATGTATACAGTTTTAAAAAGAATATGCACATTTTTGAAAGGCTTATGTGTATCCCCCCAGGGTACCCCATGGTGCTGCAGTAAATTTACTAGAGCACCCTGGGATATTTTAAGATTTTGAAGAAAATACAGCAACATCTGTCAGATGCCAGGCAAAATACTAGCTCAAAATAGTTCACAGTTTTCGGCATTAGATTGTGCAACTTTTCTTGATGACACTATGTCTTTCTAAGACTGGATTTTTCAGCAGTTGCTGTGATAAAAAAGCAAATGTCAACTGAAAACAAATGTGGAACAAGAAATGAAGGTTGGTGATCATATTCCAGAGTTTTGAGAAGTGATGCAGTGCCCAACAGAGGCATACCTGCTATTAATAAGTAATGGTGGTAGTTTTAATATGAAATACTATTTTTCAAGTATGAGTTTTTTCAAACAATTCTTATCAAATATTACAACATAGATACTTATTAAGTTGTCAAGACCTACCTTCTTAATAAATAGAAAGGTTAATTATTTCTTTTGGCCTACGGGTGCTGTGAATCAACAAAGTTTGAGAACTTACGCTCTATGATACAATCTGAGTCAGAGGATCTATACCAAACTGAACCTGGAGTCCTGATCACTTCTCAATATATTTTGTTCTTATTTTAAAGAAGAAGTGTACCACTAGCATGTGTTTGATAAGCTGTACTTGGTTTGCCATTGAGTTTGATTTTCTTTTCATGATGTTGGAACTAAAGCAATTAAGGATCTGAATCAACCGATTCAGGTCTCAAGGTTTATTTGCAATAAAAATTTGCCGCAGATATAAGGAAAGCATATGAGATTTGTGACATCAGCAAACTTTGGTTCGAATTCCAGCCAGGCCATTTTGTCTTTTGACCCTCATCTATAAAATAAAGTCATTGAAAGATGAAATGAGACCATGTACGTGACACATACCATTATATTTTATGATTAGACACTTAAAGGTGAAAATCAATTTTATAAAGTTAGGTGTTTTAAATTCTGATATCAACACACAGCCACCCTAAAGATTTATATGTGGAATGAAAAGATTCTTGCCTCAAGGGACTCTAAGTCTGATTCTAACTGCAGCAAAGGAGGAAAAATTCAAAGAAAATGGATTGCAGCTGTATTTGAGAAGATCAAATTAATGAATAGTGTGGAGCACAGATTTGGGTGGCCAGTCTGAGATCAAGAAGGAGGCTTTCCATAGCCAAAGATGAAAAGAGCAATGAGATTAATAGGGAGGCCTAGGATTCATGCCCTACCCTACCCTGCCTTGGGGATAAAAGGAAATGCAGACACTATTATTCTTCATTAGTTTTCTGTCAATTATTTTCTCACAGTACTGTTTCCTACAGTTCCATAGTTGAAAAATCTCAACTATGTAGAAGTCGAAGCAAAGGATTTTATTTGGTCTCTTCTAGTCTTCTAGTTTATGGGCATCTGAATACACTTACAAGTACTAATGAAGCAAGTCCCCAGGAAAAAAGAGTGGAAGGAACAGACTTGGGTCAAGGTAAGGAAGACTTAGACTTTGAAAAAGCCTAAAGAATGAGGAATTTTAACTCCTAGGCTTATCTAATCTGCTTTTAATATGCCTAATTAATCATTATAACTATTGACATCTGATTCCAAGAACCAACACATGCTTTCACCACTGCTATTCAGCATTGTACTGGATCTAGTGAGAGCTA